AAAAAAAAAAAAAAAAAAAAGAAATATCTAAATCTATATTGTATTGTTGTAAAAACATAGTTGTATTAAGTTTAAGAAATTTAGCCTCAAGAAGACAGACGAGCGGTGGAACCAAACTGCTTCAGATAATGTACTTCACTTTTCAGAGTTTTGAAAGTTATTCAGTAATAAACATTTCTCTCTTTTACTTTGAATACTTCAAAAATTGTTGGCTTGTTAAATTCCTAGGTGAACACACACACACACAGACATATGGAAAATAGGTGTTTTAAAAGGGAACAGCATGTAACTGGACTCTGGGAAGAGAGAGTGAGACTATTATCATTGTAATAGCTGACCAACTGAATAGTGCCTTATTCTTAGTGTTTCACATCTTGGGTGTGACCCTAACTATCAATCTTTTGTATAGTATAGGTGATAGAACTGAGGCTCGAAAGTCAGTTGACAGTTTTCGGCCACTGGGCCCTTGACAGTAGGAAGCTGGGGCCTACGCCAAAGTTTGTTTCAGTGCTGTTCTGTTGCCTCCTGGAAAAGAGAAAATCAAGATATCTTTTCTCATTGTGTTAGTCTGTTCTCATGCTGCTAATAAAGACATACCTGAAACTGGGTAATTTATAAAGTGAAGAGGTTTAATGGACTCACAGTTCCACATGGCTGGGGAGGCCTCACAGTCATGGCAGAGGGCAAGAGAGAAATAAAGCAGAGGCATGTCTTGCATGGTAGCAAGGAAGAGGGCATGTGCAGGAGAACTCCCCTTTATAAAACCATTAGATCTTGGCTGGGTGCAGTGGCACACACCTGTAATCCCAGCACTTTAGGAGGCCGAGGCGGGTGGATCACGAGTTCAAGAGATCTAGACCATCCTGGCCAACATGGTGAAACCTCGTCTCTACTAAAAGTATAAAAATCAGCTGGGCGTGGTCGTGCGAGCCTGTAGTCCCAGCTGCTCAGGAGGCTGAGGCAGGAGAATCACCTGAACCTGGGAGGCTGTGGTTTCAGTGAACTGAGATTGCACCACTGCACTCCAGCCTGGTGACAGAGTGAGACTCCATCTCAAAAAAAAAAAAAACAAAAAGAAACCTGTTGTTAGCTCTCATGAGGCCTATTCACTATCTGTAGAACAGCATGAGAAAAACCTGCCCCCATGATTCAGTTACGTCCCACCGGTCCCTCCCGGTTTTGTGAGGATTATTACAATTCAAGGTGAGATTTGGGTGGGGACACAGCCAAACCATATCACTCACCCAGCCCGCTTTGCTACCTACTGTCCAGGCTCTGTTGTCGCTCTGTCAGAATCTACTGTTTTCCATTTTGAACACCTCTGTAGCACATCATATTGTGCCTTTGCCTGTCATAGGTGTGGGCTGTCCACAGTAGATCGTGGGCAGATCGCATCATCACTTACCGTTGGCTTGACCCAGTGGTATACTCCCAAGACCATCTGGAGAGAAATATGCTGTTTTTAAGTGAGGAAGACCAGAATACAGAATATTATGCCATTTAGGTCACACACACAACTGTAACTGTGTTGTAAAGAAACGCACAGGAAAGATCTGGAAAGACGCACATCAGACAGTGGCGTCAGTCCCTCTGGGTAGGAGCCTGGGGTTCGGGGGCAGGGAGGAAGCCAGGCTTGTGATGATAGCACTTTGATGGTGGTAAGGTTCTTTGCGGTAAACACGTGTTTTTACCAGTTAGGACTCTCAGTTGCAACTCGACAGCACATTTACGCCACACTAGTTTTAAGGGGGAAAGTGAAGCACAGCTTTGTGGAGGAGCTCAACTGCTGGTGCCAAAATCTTGTTTTTCTCCACTGCAACCTCTGCTGCCCCAAGATTGTCTCCATTCTCAGATGGGCTCCACTTATGTTACCCGGTGTCTGGGAGCAGGTGCAAACCCTGTGTTCTCTTCAGGTGCAGTAGGAGAGAGCTAGAGACTCCTCAGGCCTGAGCAAGAGGATCTGTATCTGTAGAGGGTCGCTTGGCTTTTCTTGAACCTGTTCTATGGCCAAGAGAATTCTGTTGAATTGGCTAAAGCTGCCTCCCCTTCATGTGGGATAAGCCCCACCCAGACCACAGGGTCCCTCTTTGCCCTGCTTGAAGGTGGGGAACCTTGGAGGGGAATCACCATGTAGCTGCCCAGCAAGGACAAGGACTGCCCCGCGCCTGACCCCACACAGTAACCTGTGTCCTTTAAATCCTCTTTTTGTTTTTAAGTTGATTAACGCTGCTGCCTTTCCAGTGACGTCATTGTCTTAGTCTGTTGCATTGCTATAAAGGAATACCTGACAGTAAGAGGTTTTTTTGGCTTGGGGCTCTGCAGGCTGTATGAACATGGCTCCAGCATTTGCTTCTGGTGAGGACCTCAGGGAGCGTCCAATGTTGGCTGGAGGGGAGGACAGTTGCCATGTCACATAGCAAGACAGGGAGTAATGGAGGAGGAAGGTGCCAGGCTCTTTAACATTCCAATTCCACAGGAACTGGGAGTGGCACTCAATCCCAGGAGAATGGCACCAAGCCATTCATGAGGGGTCTGTCCCTGGGACCCCACACATCCTACTAGGCAGAGTTTTTAAATAAAAAGAAGACAGCCATGGTGTCGCTTTGGTAATCTCATGCACTCCTTTTGTTTCTTCTTTTTATTAAGGAATATTTCAAATACATAAAAAGCACACCCACTGCTCTGCCTCTGCTTTTATCAGGACCTGGCCAGTTTGTCTCATCTGCCCACTTCTTCCTTCCCCGTAGGTTCGTGTGAACCAAATCCCAGTCATCTCATTACATTTCCAGATGTCCTCAGTATGTATGTATCTCTATAGTATAAGGATCCTTTATTTAACATAGCCACAGTACCATTATTACACCTTAAAAAAAAAAAAATCCTTGATAGCATGAAACATCCAATCTGTTTAGTTTTTCTCATCATCTCATAAATGCTTTTTGTGGCCAATCCAAATGAGGACCACCCATTGCATTTGGTTAATGTGTCTGCTAAGACTCTTAAATTCTATTAGTTCTTACCCATCTTTTTTTTCTGTACAGTTTATTTGTTGGAGGACATGGATCACATTTCTTGTAGCGTTTCACATATTTGGGGTTTGGGTGTCTGCATCCTGTTGTCTCACTTAACATGTTCCTCTGTTTCCTGGATTTCCTGTCAACTATATTAATAGTTAAGATTTGACGCATTTGGGTTTTTTTTGTTTGTTTGTTTTTGTTTTGTTTTTTTGTGTTTTTTGTTTTGTTTTGTTTTGTTTTGTTTTGTTTTTGCTTTTGTTTTTGCAAGAATATTTCACGAGGTGGGTGTCTCATTCTCCCTGTTGCCATCACCTCTGGTACCGAATGAATGGTTGCCTGTGTGTGTTAGTGATTGGTCAGTGGGTTTGGAGGTTTGAGTGTTGATTGTCTCACACATCCATTTTCAGGTTTCTCAATTTTCAGTTTTGTTTGTTTGTTTGTTTGTTTGTTAGACAGAGTTGCTCTGTTGCCCAGGTTGGAGTGCAGTAGCATGATTATAGCTCACTGCAGCCTCAAATTCCTGGGCTCAAGCTATCCTCCCGCCTAAGCCACCTGAGCACTTGGGACTACAGGCACATGCCACCATGCCCTGCTAATTTTTTGGATTTGTTTGTTGGGGGGGCGTGTGTGTGTGTGTGTACGTTTAAGAAAGTGTCTTGTTCTGTCACCCAGGCTGGAATACAGTGTTACAGAGACTGGGTTTTGCCATGTTGCCCAGGCTGGTCTCAGACTCCTTAGCTCAAGTGAGCTGCCACATGTGGATGTGTCTTTTCATCCCATGTTTTAGCCGCCATTTATGTTTCTTGCCCAAAGCCTTTAATTCACTGGGGATATGTGTGGTCTTTGAACATGATTAAATATAAGTGCAGGTCACTGTGACAAAAAAAATTGCTGTGCTCATGACTGCGGTTGGCTCAGCTCTAGTGGGTTTTATTACTCATACCATACTTACATTATCCATGTGAGGACCCCCAGGCATGCCTTGTTCATCACAAGAGGGCAAGAGAACCAGTGGTACATCATCTCTTCAACTCTGAAAGGAAATATACTTTAATAAACTAGTTTTAAGTTAGTTCCTGATATCTTGGTTTTACATGCAAAGCTATCACAAAAGAATCAAAATGTCGGCTGGGCACCATGGCTCACACCAGTGATCCCAGCACTGGGAGACCAAGGTGGGCAGATCACCTGAGGTCAAGAGTTCAAGACCAGCCTGGCCAACATGGTGAAGCCCCATCTCTACTAAAAATAGAAAAAATTAGCCAGGCATGGTGGCGCACACCTGTAATCCCAGCTCCTTGGGAGGCTGAGGCAGGGATTGTCGTGAGCCGAGATCGTGCCACTGCACTCCAGCCTGGGTGACAGAGCAAGACTCCGTCTCAAAAAAAAAAAAAAAGAATCAAAATGTACCATTATAATATTGTTGATGGGAGAACGCCCCTTGGTAAAGTGGAAATCAATACCTGTAAATTAAGGTAAACACACTCTGAAGACACTAAATAAACTGTGGTCTATCAAAAAAGGTCTTTTTGTCACTTTTTAAGCAGCTTTTGGAGTATTGAAGATCACGTTGATCCTAAGTATTTGTTTGTTTGCATTCATCTAGTTTATACCACTTTGTCGCTCCAAAAGAGCTCTCTTAGTACCTTCTAGTAAAACATTAATAAAGACCATTTGTAACACGCATCAAGACTTGAGGATTCTGTTTGTTCTAACTTCATGGTCCATAGGCTTGGAAACTCCAAGAGTATACCTGCCATATCATTTTGTGAGTCTTTATGTCAATCGGTGAATATTTTATGACACCGGGGATCTACTCGGGAGATCTAAGGCTGAAGGAGACTTGGTCACTTAGTCATAGATCATGAAGGCAGCCAGAGAGCACAGAGTAGCTAAGAACTAAGCCCACCCTGGTGATGCCACAGTAAATGACAGCACTACAGGGAGGGTGACTGGGAGACAGCCACTTGGACCTCCCACTAGGATCCTTTAAAGGGTCATTTTTGCAACAATGTTCCAAAGCAGTGTCAGAGTCCCCAGGCCCTTTCTTAGGCCATTGACTTTCAGATGTCTCCTGTAGAGCTCCCGTGTCCTCAGCCTGCCTGGTTTTCTGTTCTTGGGATTGAGGCTGCCCGTTGTTGGTTTTGTGATGACTTGAACAAGTACTGCCTCTCCTGTAAGATTTGCCGTTTTACTTCACAAGACCAGCGAAAATGTTGGTGTGCGGGCTGGCTGCACGTGGGGAGCGGGGAGGGCCTTGACAGAGAACTGATTTCATAAGTGGGCACTTTGTTGGTGAATTTCATGTTATGATGACATTTGCTTCCTCATACTGAGGCCGGGCCACCACTGCCACCCTGCCCTATCGCTGATAAAGCCGCAGGTATGGTAGTCATTTATTCATGTTTCTTTTGTAACAATAAGGAAATGTTTGCTTCCATTTTTAAAAAGACATTTGCAAATGAAAGAGTTAAAATGTATGTGGTGTACTTCCCCACTTTCTCCACTTCAAGCAAGGAAGTGCTTAGACTCTAAGGTAAGATGTTTGTGCTGTTTTGCCTTCCAGGAGGTTTCAGTCAGGAAGAACTTCTAAAAATCTGGAAGGGGCTCTTCTACTGCATGTGGGTGCAGGACGAACCCCTTCTGCAGGTAACTCACGTTCCCTTTCTCATGCTCCCGGGTTCTTGACCACTCAGACTCTGCCAGTCCCCCATACACTGACGCACACTGACAGTCATGCTTCAAGGAGTCATTTTCTTACATCTCGACCACATGGAAAGGGAAGCAGTGTCAACGTAGTTAGGTGAATTGGCTTTTCCAATAAAAGGAACGGTGGGCATCTATTGTCAAGGTACTATTTCTCCGTAAAATTCCATAGGTTCCATGGTAGGATTTACATCACTTAAAGTTTCTCTCTTCTGCTAAGTTTATTTTTTGCGGTCAAGGATGGCATGACAGGAGCATAACCAGTGAGGACCCTGTGAAACCCGGGACAAGGCAGCCGCCTCGCTGGGCTTCGGGTTCCATAGAAAGACCACACACCCTGAGGTAGAGGAGCCAGCCTGGAGGAGAAGCACATGGCAGTCTCTGATGCAGATGACAAGTCCTCAGGGCGAGATTTTCCTTTTCTGGGTTTTAATGTGCAGCCTTGCCATTTGTCCCATAATAACATGTTTTATTTTTATTTGACTGAACATATTTTGAGTAGGAGCAGGGCAAAATATTTTTATATTACATTCAGAAGTAACAACCAACAGCTTTAGTGGAGGAAGAAAACCAATGAACAGGAACCTCCTTTTCCCACTAAGGAAAACAGCCCGGGTGGGGTGTGAGTGAGACTGATGAGGAGTGAGACTCAGGTGTGAGTGAGACTGCTGAGTGAGACTCAGGTGTGAGTGAGACTGCTGAGTGAGACTCAGGTGTGAGTCAGACTGATGAGTGAGACTCAGGTGTGAGACTGATGAGTGAGACTCAGGTGTGAGTGAGACTGATGAC